AACAGATGTAATTAGATTATGCTAACATGATAAAGAGTCACTGATTATCTCCCTAAATTAGATTGACCCTGATCTGTAAAGATCATAACTTTCAACAAAGGCTTGTTTTGCTTGCTGTATAATTTTCACACAGGCTCTAAGATGGACATCTTGTAGGTGTTTTGAAGGGTCACGCGAAAGATCTCAGTTGATTTTCATTTCACCCACGCATCATTTTTTAAGAGTAGGTTGTGCTGTAGCATCAAACCCAAAACTTTGTGCTCGTCCAGGTGCTTTGTTGCCATTGATGAATGTTTCCATGGCCAGTTTGTTTCCAGTACAGTCCACAAGTGACTGCAAAGTCTCTGGTGCCCTGTTTAGATCTCTTATCAAAAATGACCAAGAAGGGAACTTTATCTTTTTTTCTCAGCTAATAATTACTTTTTCGTGTTTTCTTGGTTTGGTTAAGAATATCTAAGTTTTACAACTACTAGCCGAACTGCATCCTTCTGTACACTTTAATATGTTATTGGAATCGGTGATTTGGAGTTCTAGACTTCTGTCTTACTCGGAATATAAATGGAGGAGGGCATGTGTATGAGTAAAACGTTACAGATATCTTTAAACTTACTACTTACAAATAAATGACTTCAACATTTTAGAAAGGGAAGCACATCTAAAGCGGTATTTTTTTCACCTCATCTATAAGTGAATTTAAAAGACAAAGGCTTTTAACTGACATAGTGGGGTTTTTTGATTTTCTTTTGTTTTTCTTTTTTCTTTTTTTTTAGCGAAAAGTCCTACTTTGGGATCCAGATAATCTAGATCTAAATCCACACTCAATACTTGTGAGCTGGTGACTTTGGTCAAGATAAATTCTCTGATTCTCATCCTTCGCATCAGTAAAATGGAGATAGTGATGCCAGTTTCTTCTATAAGGAAGAATTGATCAGATTAGATGTTATATACATAGATGCTTAACGATGAATGTCCTATTATTGTTATTGTTTTATGTGAATTAGTGTTCTTCATATTTTTTGATCCTCACCCTATCATTAAAATTTTTCAAACACACAAATAAGTATAAAAATAATATGTAGGGTCTATGACGTAATATTTTAGGTTCAATATAAAACGATCTTTTAAATACTGTTTTTAAAAAGTTGAAATTAATATTTTCTCTAAAATATTAATAGATATTACTTATTTTTACTCTAATTTTTAGTAACTGCAGTGTGATTGAATATATATTTTATATAGTTTTGGATTAGTAATTTGAATATCTGCCTCTTTTTTATTCATTTTGATGCTTGACTTAATTGACTGTCATAGTTAACATTCAAATATGTTACCTAAAGGTACATCTATCATGCTAGGTAAAAGTACATTTGATCCACCTAGCGAATCGTGATGTTAATGTTTCATTTTCATTAACCAATAATTCAAAGGTTTTGATAAACTGTGGCTTGTAAATTTCTATCCTCTCTCATGTTAATCAGTTTTATTTGCAAAATAATTGAATGATGACCCATTTTAGTATTAAAAAATAAGTTCAAAACCCAGTGGACCTCTACATTTATGATTGCAAAGATTTAAAAATGTCCAAGTTATGAAAGCATGTAGATGTGTAAATTCTTATAAGATTATGTACATATCCATTTCAGCAATAAAAGTATACATAGTGTTTGGAATATTTAATTCCAAACATTTTTTTTCAAAATGCTCTTACAATAGTACAGATTTCGTGATAAAGTAGTTATTTGCTCACTCGTCAAAAATGAACCAAAAAAAAAAAAAAAAACAAATATTAGCAAAGATGTTGAGCAGCCTGAATTCTAATACACTGCTGGTGGAAATGTCAACTGATACAAGCTCTTGGGAGAATTATTTGAAAGTATATACTGAAGCTAAACATATGTATAAATGAGAGTATATACTGAATGTTATGACCCAATATTTCTGCCTTGGAGTAAACGCCCAACATAAATGAGTGCTTATAAGTAACACATGAATAAGAATGTTCAGAACAGCTTTATTCACAGTAGCCAAGCACTCAGAACAACCCAGTGACAGCAAGGGAATGTTCATCCTCATTATCATGTAGTATTACATTTTTTATTAATATAGCACAATTTTTTATTCAAAATATTTTTTGAATAAATTCCATGGATGAATCTCAGAGAGATAAGGTTGAGTAAAAGGAGCCAGGCACAAAAGAATACATACTGGTTCTGTGTATATAAAGGTCAAGAACAGGCAAAACTAACCTATGACAATAGGGATCAAAATAGCAGTTACCTTCGAGAGGGTATACTGACTTTGAGGGTGTATACTGGTATATATGAATTCATATATATATAAGCTTTGACATATATGACAATATAAATTTATCAAAAAGTACCCTTCAGATTCTCATGATCATAACTCATTCCATTATGGAATACCATAAAGATTCTCCCCTCCAAAGATCTTACTTTTATAAAATTAGCCATACCATCTTACAGCTGCTGGGACAGTTAAACAGTGAGAGTACCCACAACTTCTAGAGCACACAGTCTTCCTTCAGCATAGAAACTTGTTTTACCAAAGGTGACACATGGCTGCCTGCTGTATAGTTCAGAGTCAGTCACAAAGTTAATTATTAATTAAGTTTAAATTATTCTGGTGCCCCTACTGCCACACTTGACTGTGGAGAAGAGTCGGGTAACAGTTGCTCATCATGATAGTCAGTGGAATGTTTGCTCAGTAAATCCCCAAAGGAAGGAGATGATTTAGAGCAGGAGTTGGCAGACTTTTTTTTTTTTACCTCTTTTACTTCATCTACCTCTCCCCTCTTCCCTCCCACCTCCCCTCTGGTAACCACTAGTCTGTTGTCCATGTCCCTGAGTCTCTGTTTGTTTGTCCTGTTTATTTGTAGCTTTTAGGTTCGTATCCCACATATAAGTGATATCATGTGGTTTTCAACTTTTCTCTGTCTGACTTATTTCCATTAGTATGATTATCTCGGGTCCATCCATGTTGTCGCAAACTTTTTCTATAAAGGTTCTGATAATACATATTTTAGGCTTTGAGAGCTATGTGGTCTCTGTCATAACTGCTTAACTCTACAGTTATAGTGTGGCAGCATCCTAGACAAAAAATGTTAAAAAAAAATTGGCTGTATTTCAAAAAAACTTTATGGACTCCAACTTTAAATTTCATGTAATTTTCACATGACACAAAATATTTTTCTGCTTTTGATTCTTTTTCAACCATTTAAAATGTAAAGATCATTTTTAGCTCACGGGCCATAAGAGAGCAGGCAACAAGATAAATGGCTCCCAGGATTTGGTTTGCAGACCCCTGGTTTAGAGTTGTGCATTTCTAAGTGATAATGAACGTGTAGAGACTCACAGCCCGAAGTTCACAGAAGTACACAACATCATTTCTAGTAGGTTGTCAAACTACAGTATGTTGTCCAAAGGTGCTTTCATTTTTTGTTCCTTTAAGAAACACATCAAGCTTAATATCAAAGGCTTTGTTCCTTCCTTGACGTGATTTTAATTGATAGAAGTTCAAATAGAAGAAGTTGGGTTTACAGAAGATTCCACTGAGATATTTGAGGCTGGGTCATTCGTAGCTACGGTATCAATAAGAGTCATAGTGCTTTTCTGCATGGTCTCAGTTCTAATTTGATAGACAAGTTTTTTTAAATAACCTTTATTTTGGAAACTTCAAAGCAATGAAATACCTAAGGCACTCAAACATTTGTTTGAGGCCCACTGGCTAAATTCCCTGACTCTTTCGTGGGTTTCTGTGGGTCCTGACACATGAGGGAGTGTGTGTTCACTGACATTCTGGAAGGTCAGAGGGATAAATAACTGCCTCTAACAGCACAGCATTTTAAAGGCAGGCTTCTAAGTTGGTTCTCCTCAATTCCCTGCACTATTTGCCAAGACGTGTGAAGCAAATCTTTAACCTGATTATTGAATTGTCTGTCTCATTCCTATATCCAAAATTAGTTTTCTTTCCTATGATCAGTTATATGTACAATTTAAAATTCGTTATTTATATTCAGACTGAACAGTGCAAACAAATCATGTAAAAGGGTAAATTTTTGGAATGACTTTACACAGATTTGTGCCTCACCCCCAGCCAGCCTTAAATGAGGGGATCCCTCAGCCTCAGCAGCATGAAAAGAGGATGAGGGGGCAGGGCTTTCCTATCAAGGTAGTATCTGTGCTGTACGTGACTCGACTTGGGTCCATCCCCACGGACCTCCTGGATGTCTGTGCTCCATCCTAGAACCAGTACTTTGCAACTAGCCTCGTCCTCTTCCTTTACTTAGGGTGGGTACGGTGTAGAGTTAGGAGACCAGAAACAAGGTAAGTATAAACAGGAGAAGGAATCTAGGAGGAAAACCAGGTCGGGCTGGAATCTCAGCTCCATCGTGTATTCTGGATGGCAGCTGACACTTAGTGAGCACCTGCTCTGTGCTGGAGACGTCACATAAATGCTTTCAGTTGTTAAACAAGAGGAGATGAACAAACAAAAAAGCATCCCTCATTTAGCTGATACACAGCAAGGAAAGAAGCCTTCAAAGCAATTAAGGAGACAAAGGGTTCTTTTTTAAAAAAATAAGGTTCTGGTTTATATGTTATGTAAGAAATAAGTTGACTTCGTTGAACTTTAGATTTCATGACGACAGTGAACTCTGCTCAGTGTTTGGAGTGTGTTCTTCAAGCAGCGCCGTCGTCGGCTCTCAACCTAAAATAGCATGTAGTGTACTGGTTGTGACACTCTGGGAATCAGGGCGTCAGTTTTCTTTTTCCAGAAAGCGAAGATGTCTCGGCTGCTTCTGAGCAATGCACCGCGAGACCACCCACAGGAAGAGTGAAAACAACTCGTTAACTGTGGTTCTACTTCGTGAACATCTGAACATTTTTTGGAATGTGTCAATTACTAGGCAACTTAAGCAGTGACCAGAAAAGACGTTTCTAACTCAGCCTCTTGATCCTTTTCTGTCTTTCTCTGTGATTCAGGAGGAAGGATGCTGGCTTCTTATCCTACAAAGATCACCTGCCAGTGAACCAGGTGGTGGTTGGAGATACTGACCGGCAAGGCTCAGAAGCCAAACTGAGCGTGGGTCCCCTGCGCTGCCAAGGAGACAGTAAGTTTGCCCAGCAGTGTGGGCTCTCACTTTCTTTTCAGTTTTAAATGGTGTGTCCCAGCAAATCAGAGGATGGCAGAAAACATTGCTCTTCTCGAACTCCTAAAGAAACATCGGGCAATGCAAAGAACCAAATGGAGAGCAAGAAGACCTTAACACGTAGAAGAGGGTGGGAGGAGCTTAGATTTGGGCCTAAAGTGTGGATATCCGTCTTCCTTGTATATTCATACGTAATGAGTTTGACTACTTGAGTTTATGGTGATATATAAATAGCAATTCTAGTAGCATAAAAGCAGCCCTAAACAGCTGTGATTCCACTGAGTGCTGCTGTTAATGCCATTAGCATGACTATTTATATCACCATAAACTAAGTTTATGGTGATATAAATAGTAGCATTATCGTTTAATGTATTGTTGTAAACTTGGATTATGGTCATATAAAGTTTGACATTACTGCTATCAAATTTCATCATCATCAGAGCTTGATATTCCCTTGTACACCAAAGATTGTTGCAGTAACTATGCCGTGCTCTCAGGATTCAGCATCACAGAGAGAAATTTGGGGCTGCTAGCTTGGACTGTGGGACGTCGAGGAGTTGGTGTGATGATCCCACCTAATTAAGGGCAGCACTAGGCTTTTATGCTGTTCGATACCCTTCGGTGTGCTTTATGTGCAGTCAGAGGGAAACGGCGACAGTTGCCATGGGGACTCTGCAGTGACCGTCCTGGGTGTCGTTTCCCCTCTTCCTGTCTGTGCCTGTGATTTGAGCAAATCCCCTGTGTGTTCTGCGGTTTTGCAATGTGCACTGGGCATCAGGAGACCCAGATTCTGTTGCCTGAATGACTGACTTGCCAGGAGACCTCAGGCAAACCCCTGCCTTGTCTTGGCTATGGTAACGAGAATACCACCTGTGTCCCATCTCCTCCTGGGGAGACCATAAAGGTTTTAGTGCCCAGATCTGGATTCCTCCTAGCAAAGCATTCTGTGAGAGGGACTATTATCACCACTTCCATAAATCAAGGGAGAATTAGACCTGCTCGGTGTAATGAATTGTTGCGTCCACTCAGAGAGGTGTCCGAAGAAATGAAATGATGCGCGCTTCCCTGTTTACTACTTAGTAAGTCGAGGCTGTCGGCAATTAGATAACGCAGTATTCCTGACACCAACAAGAGATGGAGTTTGCACTGGTTTTTCTCTTCTTACATAGAAAAAATGAAAATGCTGCCTTTAAAACAGAGACCGGTCAAAAGAACTTTATTAAGCATTTATGAAACAATAATACTTTATTTGTCTAGTCAGGCTTAGTAGAACTACACAATAAGAAATTTAGTTTCTACTGCTTAAGAAAAATCCATGATATAAACTAGTAATAAATATGCATTTTTAAACAAAAATTTTGAGATGGGCTATAGTGTCACTCAAAATAGGCAGGTTCTCATGTGTCGCGTAATGAAAATCAGTTTCATTACGTCATACTTATTAATATGTATAGGTGAAATATTCATAAGTTCTAATTCTTAAGTAAGCTTTGAATTAGAGAAGAGATTTTCATTAAAGTAATTGATTTGGTGAATATAGTTATAAAAATCTGACTTCTGCAAACTTTTGCCATTCTTAAAGAGAAGATTCTAGCTACATTAATATAGTATATCTTGGGAGTGTTAACAGTTTATAGCTAAATTAGCTTATTTTCTCTTAATCAGTCCTCAGGAAGAATTTATGATGTCTGTTATTTGTCCGGCACTTTACTGGGTACTCTGGGAGAATAAGAAAAATAAGTTCAAAGCACATTTTGAGAAATACAGTTGAAAAAATATTGGAAAACACAAAATGTTTTATAATTTAATATTTGATTTTATAAATTAAAATTATTACAACTGATGCTCAAGAAAGGAGTGATAATATATATGAGGCATACTTTATGTTTAGAAAGAACACAGGAAAAGTGTGGGGGTCAGTGTTCATTTGCATTTCTTTCTCAAGACTGTTCTTAGAGACATTTTTGGGACTGTTGATAAGACAAAGAGCTATCTCATTCATCAACTCTGCATGGTTTCAGTATTCTTACAGTACTCAGCTTCAGAGAGACTCTGAATCTATATTTTACCTGATACTTCATGAAAACAAAAGCACAAGCAATATTTAATTGCAGTTATGTGGAATACTTTTGTGTCTGAGAGCATGAGCGAGCGTGAGCGAGCACAAGCACATGCAGCTAAGAATATCATACCTCGTGCTTGACTTTCCAGGCAGCAGGAAGCAATTTTGATGCCCACCTTCCCTTTACGAAGGTCCTAACATGGATGCAGTAATGATAACGGGTTCAACATCTTAGCATTTTCCGGTACTTAGACATGTATGATTTCCTTGGATACAGCCCCCTCCACCTCGTGAGGTGGGTAAAGTCAACATTAACCTCTCTGTTTTACAAATAAACAGAATCTTTCTTTTAAAAATGTCATTTTCACAACAAATTTCTGTGTACCCTCGCGGCCTCTGGGAGTCTCCGGGAGGGAAGACAGAAGCCGGAATAGAAACCGCTCTCTCCACACGCAGCCGGGGCTGTTTCTCCAGATCAAACTGTTTTAGTAAAAGTATGTCATTTGAGTCTTATTCCACCACTTCCCCCACTCACCTATGTCCAGTTATCACTATTGCATGGGCGTTGTAGGGATTAAGGTCCAATTTTTATAATTTAAGAAGTGGCATAGTGCATTCATCCTGTTGTTTATAGAAATTAACTTAGTGTCATTTACTGATGTCTGTGCAAAGCTACAGTTTAAAAAACCAAATCTGTTGTTGAAAATGCCTTTCTCTATTTGAGGAGTTGAGTGATGACAGCCCCCGGAAGCTGTCTCCTGAATTAGGTCCCGGATCTATCCCCCAGTCTTAGACAGGGAAACGGTTTTTGTGGGCTCTGACCAACTGTTTCAGCAGCTTCAGTTGATTTCGTCATGCCTGCTGAGTTTCATTTTTACTTTGATTTATCTGAACTTGTAGACCCATCTAATCAAAATGCTAAAGAAAATCAGTGAGTTCCACTCAGGTCTGTTGCATTTCCCAATAGTGCTATGAAGTGCTTCTTTTTTTTTTTTTTTTTGCAAATACATTCAAATGGCAACCTCAAATCTAAATGATGGATGGTTAACTATGATAAAAAGTGCAGTAAAATTACAAATGCCCCTCTTAAACCACTGCCCTCACCTAGGAAGAAACAAAAGAGCTATTTAAAAGGATCAAAACCATTGAGAGAGTAGAAATTGTCTTCAAATTTAAAATATAATTATATTTGATAGGGGTTGCTAAACTTCATGGAATAAGTTCAAAAGTAAAATTTCGGGTTTGGGAGGTAGAAATCTTATTCATACTGTATCTAGTGAATTTAATAATTATAGAAATAAAGTACTTGCTAGATAATTGCTCTGTTCTCAGCCACATGAAGTAAAGATTTCCCATTTCTCCTCAAGAAAATACAGGGACTTAAACAGTTCATTAGGATCAAGTTTGCTACAAAAGCAAGTGTTTCCAGTCCACCCGGGGAAGGAGTAATTTGGGAAAATGCGTTAATCCAGGACCTAGGAATTCGTGCGGGAAACTCCTGGGCAGATAGGCAGATGCTGAGTCACGCTGGGGGCTGAATAAGTAAATTCAGACTCTTAGAGCTACAGAGGTAACTCCGAGGGGCCCAGAGGAAAAAATGAGGCCGACAGCTCGACCAGTTCAGGAACACTCAGCAGGGGGCAAACCGTGGGTGAAAGAAGTGAGGATGGTCCTGGCGTTTCGTGCACGTGGCAGTGGACGTCTGTCCTCTGGGAATGTGGTCGCATGGACCAGAGTAACTTAAAGCCCGGGCTGTCTTTACTGCCAGACTTTTACAAACCAGGACCACAACCAGCCGGGAAAGACAAGGCAATGACTGTGTCTCCACGGCGCTTCTCCACAGACGGGACATCTGCGGTGCGGGTGCAGACGAGTGTCGTTCTCCATGCGGTATGTGCCAGGGCACACACAGGCCCCCGTCACCCTGCGAGCATGTGTGTGAGCCGTGCTCTGCGTGCCAACCGAGGGCTGGACGAGGACCGAGGAGCAGCGGCTCCCCTGAGCCCAGGAAGTGATTTCGATGTCGGAGAAGAAGCCACTCCATGGGCACAGAGAGGGCCAAAGTTGGCTTACCCCTCCCTCTGCTGCGTCAGGCTTGGAGGAGACAAGGGAAAAGGGCCCAGGTCGTAAACCAAGCCCTGGGTGTTCATCTCCTCCCTTGGTTCTCCCACCATCCCGCATGAGGTGACGTCTTTGACTTGAGTGTGCCGGTGTGAAAATGGAACCAGGCTTATCAGGCGGTTTACCAAGAGGTTTCAGAGCAGGGGCCAAAAGGTCTGCGGTTGCCGAGAAAATCCCCCAATGGATAAAACTGCATCACTCTCAGTAATTATTTCCTCAGTAGGTGCTCCAGATTCTTTTCCTTCCTCTGTTTCTTCTCAGGAAATGTAGCTGCGTACACTAGTCTCAAGAATAGCTGAAAGCAAGAACAAAGAATAACAATACCCTAATGGTGGGAATCAGAGATCACGCGGTGCAGGCCTCTTGTGTGTCAGATGCAGGGACTGGGGTCCAGGGCAGTGAAGCGGCCAACCCAGGGTCCCCCACGTGGTTTATGGCACAGCACGTGGAGAGAGAGCTTGACACAAGCCTTCATCTCTAGTCATTCCCCATGGCCACGATGAAGGCTGACATCTACACAGGAAGATTTGACCTGGAACTCTGACCCGAGGTCCCTGCCTGTCAGCAGCCGAGCAGTGTTGTCATGTGGTGCCACCTTCCTAGCTTCACCCATCAGGAGACCGTGATAGCAAACCCACAGCCACAGGTGTGAGGGCCGGTGGCAGAAAAGTGGTGACTTCTGGGTTTTGGAGGTTTTTTGTTTGTTTGTTTGTTTTTACTTCTACTGCTAGGCAGTTTTTTGGTTGATAAGACAAAGAAAAAAAAAAACTAGAATGAT